CTCTTATTTAAGCGAGCAATGAAGAATAGGTTTGCTTTGAGGGGATCCAAAGGAAAGGGATCATTCCAGATTTAAGCAAATCTCCAGCATTTTTCTGTTGGTGTTTTGTTTCTTTGAAGCTTTTTTTTTAAAACTATCTTCCTTTCTACTTACTTAATGTATCAGGCGCATGATGTATCCCACCTCCCATCCTCTCATCTGCCTTTTATTCTAGCTTCATGCAGGTGTAACCGAGGCACCTTAACTCAGCGACGTTGCTTTCTAACTCAGATTTCTCTGAAATCATAACCATTTAGCACTGGAACACATGCAGACCTGGGAGTGAGGGGTTTAACACTTCATAGGATGACCTTTGACCTATGTGGAATGGGAGCAGGTGGATAAATGCTCCCTCTTCCATCGCTGGGATGGGATCGTCAGAGGCTTATTCTACTCACATCCTCAGGGCCATCTCAGAATGCACCCTTGAATTAGCTTTCCCTCCTTCTTAGTTTCACTTTCCCAGTCCCTCATTCCTGTTCCTTGGGAGCTCTTCCTGCTTTCGGCAAGAGTCCTGGGCTCTGATTTCTGTTGAGAGTGAGAACTGAAACACCTACTTATAATTTTGTTGCCTGGAGGTTGCTGATTCATGAACCAGTTATTTTCTTAGTTACTCTGATGAAGAAGCAAAGCAAATCTAAAAACCAGATATCAGTTTATTGAGAACTCTTTCAAAGAAGGGAAGTGTAATGCTAAGGTACACAGAGAGAAAGATCCTGAGCGACTATACTCAGTGGACCTAAAAGAGAAAAGCAATCCAAGAATTGGTATCAGTGAACTATTAGCTAAATTCAACCGGAATAGATTGAATAATTTTTTAATATTTTCTCTCACATATCCTGCCTCTGCTCTTTCATCTTTCTTTCTCTTTGTCCCTATCTAACTTACTGAATTATTAGCCAAAATTGTATTGCTCCGGGTTAAAAACCACTTGCTCTATCATAAATGAGATGCTAGGAAAATTAAGTTCCACGTATGGGAGGGAATGATTTAGGTCACTTATGACTATCTTACAAATTCTAAGACTAAGTTAGGAATTTTTTCAACAGAAAAACAATTAACTCATACAAAATATTAGAATGCCCAAGTAAATAAAATAAATTCTAAAATATTGGGCTTCTTCCATCTTTATTCCTAGAAGAAAAATACTGTTTTTATAAAGTAACTTTTCCATTCGTTCAACAAATATTTATCAGATGCATTGATTTTGAGGATGTTAAAAATGTTTAAATCTTATTTTTCATTTTCGCAATACTCTAGAAAAAATACCAGCACATGGCACTTGCCCCTTGGACATCCGAATCATCCTCTAGGCTCCTTACCTGAGCTTGTAGACATAATGACTTGAGTTATTTTAGACTAACTTCTGTGAATGTTCTGATAAACTTCACTTTCATTTCACACACACGATTAAGCTAGATTCATCACAGAAACATTATTGTGCTAGATATAATGATCTCAGCATATATTGTGGTAAGCAGAAGCAGCCCCTGCTTCACAGAACTTGTATAAAGCTAGGTTAGGATTAGAATTATGTAATATTTTTCTACCTTTTCAACATACTTTTCACACCATTTGCCTCCTAACATGGAGATTTTTTTTTTAAATAAAAAATTATAATAACTTAAAATCTATTAAAGGATTTAAGAAAATCAAAAAATAGTATGGTACTGGGAAAACCAGAAAGAGATGACACGTGGAGAAAGCATTGAGGAACGGAGGATATCAATTAGGGGTGGAATGAGAAACTCAGATTTTGGCTCAATTCTTAAAGCACCTGGTAAATTGATCAGCTTCTTAGCAGTACATTTTTACTGAATTCTCTTGAAGACTGGGTAAAGGTTTTTTCATGGGAGGAAGCACACAAGTGTCAAAACACAGATTTGCAGAAGTTCATTATTTGTGGTCTGAAATAACAGCAACAGTAAAAACAGAGCCCTTGAGTGCTTAGATTGAGAGCAAGCCAAGTTTATAGGACAAGGGGCTCCTCGAATGAAAGGTGAAGGGAAAGGAAGGCCTGGATGCTGGATGAGAAATGCCAGTATTTTGGAGAAGAGAACAAAGCTAAAATCATGTTCTGTGGATAGAACTGAAAGAAAAGAGACTAACAGGTCTTTCCTTCCTTCTTTCTTTTACCCCATCCTGCCACAGCTTTGTGGCTGCTTTTTTATTCAGCCAATCATGCTTTCTCATTTCCCTCCAGGACTCGCTGGAAATGAAGGAGGAGGAAAGTGTATGAGAAAGGCTAAGGAAGGGCCAAGGCTATGACCTTTGTGGTCCAAAATCAATTTGGTAAACATATGTAATTGTACCTGGGAAGAGAAGAAGGGAAGTTTCTATGGCTACTGTCCATGATTGTCAAATTGTGGTTAGTTAGCTTTATTAACAATTTGACTATTGTTTGTCATTGGAAGTCTGTTAGTTAACAAATTATTCTGTACTTACTTGTGTTAATCAATGTCATTACTTCCACTTAACCCTTTTTTAAAAAGTCCACCGTGATGATCATGATGCTCTAGGATTAAGATTATACTTTTAGCACTTATTTGATAGACAATCTTTGCGTCAGTTTTGAATGTGAACAACAGATTAACCCTATATAAAATTTAATCTGAGCTAGAATTTCTAGTATCTTAACCACTGGAAACACAGTATGTCCAAAACTAAACTCGTATTCCTTCCCATACCTATTCCCTATCTGCTCCCTCCCTCAGTGAATGATACAACATTCATCCTTTGAGTCTCACCCTGGAACCTGAGAGTCATTCTGGCCTCCTCCTACCTCTTTGCTGACCCAAATGTAAAGTTTGTCTTTAACTTGAGCAGCTGTGCAATGATTTCTTAGGGAGAAAAACGAACGCATTATATACTGTATCCTTACTCCATTTCTTTTTTCCACATTTTGTCTCTCTTCCTAAGTCTCCCTTCTTTTCACAAATATTTAATGAGTTACCTATTATGTTCTAGACACTAAATAAAATGCTGAGGAAACATTTCTTTGGCCTCAGGAGTTCATAGATTAGAAGCAGGAGCAGACATGTGGGTTATAGTACAAAAGGTTAAGACCTAAAGAAGACGTATATACAAGGTACATTGAGCTTGTGGAGCAAATCAGCCATTTCAAAGGGGGTGGTGTCTCCTGAGTCTTAAATAGCAATTTTGAGATTGCTAGGTGGTTAACAAGAGAGAAACTCTCAGGTGGAGGAAACAGCATATGCAAAGTCAGAGGGATTGGATCAGCTCGTGGCAGGTTGGAGAGCTAGGTATGTAAGGTTTCCAGATCACAGAGTGCCCGGGGTGGTGGATGAAGCTGGATAGGTAGGCAGAAACCAGATCATAAAGGCTGATAGTGTAAGCTGAAGGATTTTATTTCTAGGAAATAGAAGCCATTGAAGATTTTTGGTAGTCAAGTTAACAGTCTTGCATCTTAGAAAGGTTACTCAGGCAGAGCAGAGCATGAAGAATATATTAAAGGTCAGAGGGACCTTGAGAAAGACCTTTTAAAATTAAGGCCAGTCGTGATATCTAAAGTAGCATAGACATCTAAAGAGGTAGAGACTGGTGAGAGAGATATTTAAGAAGTTTTACTTAAACATGACATGAATGGAGAGAGAGACAGAGAGAGAGAGAGAGAGAGAGAGAGAGACCTGCATGGACTTGGGTTTCTGGCTGAAAGATCATGGAGACAGCAGAAGATGGAGGATGGGTTGGAAGAGAATATGAGTTTTGTTTTGAATATTATGAATTTCTAATGCTTATAGAATCATCCAGATGGTATTATCAAGTGTACTGTTAAGTTTACAAGTTAAAGAGTAACCCATGGGGAGAATGAGGAAAAAGACAGGCAAAGGAAAAGGAGATTCAGAAGAGAGTGTTGTCCCATATGCATGGGAGGAAAACGTTTTAAGAATAAGCGGTCAGCAGGGTCAAACACTTTTGGACATTCATGTGACACTGGAATTCAAGGATTTCATTAGTGACCCAGCTAGAGCAGTGCCAGTGGCGTGGTGAGGATGGATGCCAACCCGCCACAGGCCAAAGTGAGGAAAATGAGAAAGTGAAGTGGATGAGGTCTGGAACTGTGCCAGTCATAGTCACAACTCTGTCACCAACACCTAGCGCAGTCCCCGATACAGCGTGCTTTATAAAATTTGTAATAATTTCATGAAGAGAGTGAGAGATTCCAGTAGTAGCCAAATCTGTTCACAGGATCCAAAGAGACAACTTTTGTAGTTGGTTTCCTTTTAGCTGTTGGACAATGGAACGTGTTAATTCACTAAAGAGGAAGAAGCCCCTGCAAGAGAGAGCTTTAAAGCACAGGAGCAAGAAGATGAAGGATGGATCAAAGTTCCTAGAGAAAGTGAGAGGTGTGGGGTCCAGAGCATGGGTAGAAGGGTTGAGGCGAACAAGAAGGGAGACATGGGAACAATATTTGGAGGATAAATTTACAAAATTACCAAGAACTTAAGGGGGTCATGGGTGATAGTTTCTATTTTTTTTCTGCAAAATAAGAATCTAACGTCACATGTGAAGAATTAAACAAGAAAGATAGGATAAGGAGCCAGAGAATATGGATGCTTAGGCCCAACTGCTGAAAAAAATGGAACGTGAAGCCTGTCTTTGGTTGAATGAAGAAGTAGGCAAGGGCACCAGCTCTGGCTGTGTGCAGAATCCCATCTCTAAGGATGGAGCTCTTAGACTCACCTTTATGATGCCCCTACCCTTGACTTATTCTTTTTGTCATGGCCTCATTTCCCTTGATCAAGGCTCTGCTTTTTCCCCACTTGCAACAAAGACTAATTTAGGGCAGGTTTCCTAATTCTAATAGAATGGAACTCTTTAAAAGCAAATGGGTTGGAATTGTTGGTTACACAGGAAAAAAAAAAAAAAAAGAATCAGCACATCAGTTAAATGACATCCTATTATTATTTTGTTTTCTCTCTTTTTTTTTTTTTCTCCAGAAGTCTTCTATGCAACTGCGTACTGGATGCCTGCTGAAAAGACAGTAAATGTCAAAAATTTACTGGACAAGAATGGGGATGCCTATGGCTTTTATAATAACTCTATGAACACCACAGGCTGGGGGATCCTTGAGATCAAAGCAGGGTATGGTTCTCAGACCCTGAGCAATGACATCATCATGTTTGTGGCTGGATATTTGGAAGGTTACCTCACTGCCCCGTAAGTACCCCAGTCATGGTGGAGAACTGTCAGGCAACCTATGTCTCTTTCTTTGTCTAGCAGTGGCTCTTGTCTTCCTGGCATTGTACATTAGTAGCTGAGGTCCTTCTCATATATTGGAAACAGAATTACATTTGTACCTATAATTAGTACCTGCCTAGAAGGAACAAAGCCCCTGATTTAACACTCTTCAATTCTCATGGCACTTACCTTTTTAAATCTTTCCTTTTCCTGAAACTATTTTAAGGGACAACTAAGCCATTTATTGTCATTTGTTGTCTGGTAGAAAGCAAATGAGAGGTGGAAGGACTCTTTGAGAACCACAAAACAAAGATTAATTAAAAATGTAAGACATTAATTTGCAATAGTCTTAAAGCAATACTTTCAAGTAGGTAAAGAGATTTTAAATTGAAAATTTTAATGTTTAATATAAATGTTCCTTCCAGTTCTGTTGTTACTTGATTCTTATGTCCTTCCCTTGCCTTATAAAAATAACAAAAATGTAGTTAATTGTAATGCAATCAGGACCCATCCTTTTTAGAGAGAAGCTCTTTAAGGGAAAGTTGCAACCTATTGAATCAAACCTCATCCTTTCTTTGGTATAAAGTGTCTTGATGAGTTGGCTTTCTTTTTTATTCTATGACCTAGATTGTTGAGTGCAGTTTAACCAAACCTTATTTTGTGCTGTTACTGCCTTAGTCATAGTAAGTGCAGTGCTGATCTTAATCTGCTTCTGCATTTTGGAGATTACATCACATGTTGAATGATTAGTTGTTGGGTTCTGACTACTCTTTTTTTAGTTTAAACTAGAAATTCTTGTTTTTATTTTTATGCCAAATTTTTGTTACCCTCGCATACAAATCTCCTTCATATACTCGGAGGTATATAAAACTTTATAAATTGAATAAGATTTTAAAAACATGTTTAAAACAGTATTATACATGTAAAAATCTGAACTTTTCATCTTTCACTCCAAATTTTTATCCACTTTTATATATATTCGTTTGATTGCATTATTTAAATCGAGTTGCAAATGTGGAGAAATAATTTCAACTGAAGTTCTATGAATATAAATAGATGAAATCATGGGTGACATATACATATAAAGGGTTATTAAGGGAAGCTATGCCATTCGAAGGCAGCCGCTCTGATCTGAGACTGTTATAAGGACAAGCATGTCTTCCTTGGATATCATGTTGCTGCTAGAGAGCCGAGGGGTATGACAGAGAAGTCTCCTGGCAAAGGTGCCACTTCTGATATTCTTATGTCTGAGGAAAAATGTAAGTTTTAATATCTCACTTTTGGGAGTGACTTTATCATTTCACCCTTACTCATTGACCTATCCTTGAGTGCCTTTATCCATTTACCAAAAAATCCTAGAAAAAGGAGCCATTCTATTCATGACTTTAATACTTCTATTTTAGAGTAAAAATTACTTAAATTCGATTTCTTAAAAAAGACACCCAGCTGCTATTCAGTAACTATTTTATTGTTTACTTTGCCTTTTGCCATGTCCTTTCCACATGCATAAGTCAGTCTTTTAATATTAAAACAAACAAAAGAACTTCCTGCATATTGTGATCCATTTTGAGGATCTGGCAACTGAGTCTGCCTTCCCTCAGACCGGTGACAGCAGCACATGGGTGAATCATCAGGAGTGAGGGACAGATAGATCTAGTAATGTCAGTCCATGCTGGTCCTTAAGGAAGAGTTAGGAAACTCTTGGCAGCAGAGAACAACCAGAAGAGAGTGCTTTATTCATAAGTACCATAGGAGTCTGAGAGGCAGGCACCCATCGGGCTGGAGCAGTCAAAGAAGTCTTTGTAGAAGGAGTGAGTTGTGGGTCTGGCACTTGATAGATGAGAATCATTTGGCTTGGCCAGGAAGAGAGAGGAAGTCATGCTTGGCAGAAGGTAACAGAACAGAGTACTGAAAAAAGGCACTGATTCTAAAATGAGTAAGTTGCATTCACAATGAGCCAGTAGAGACTCTGAACGAGCAAGCAGAGGGTAAAGGTTTAAAAAGGTAAACGGGAGCTGTACATTAGTACATGGAAGGCTTTTCTATTTCAAGAGTAGAATGCTTAGAGTTTCCTTGAATTTTAAAGACAAACTCTCTGTGCATGCCTGTATTGTATGCATGACTGTGGTGATTCTCCCCATCTGCTCAATGATGGGCTTCCCATATATGTGGTACCAAGAGTTTGAGGAACCACTGTTCTGCAGGGACTTTGATATTCCTTGAGCAGGAGATGCTGGTGAGCAGGAAGATGAGTGATTAAAAAAAACTGAAGGGGCTGGAAGGAAGAGAGAGGTCAGTATTTGTACATTTGAAGGAGAAGAAGGAGAAGGAAAAAGAGAAACAGAAAGAGGAGGAAGAGAGGACAGAAAGGAAGAAAAGAAGATGGAAGGGAGGGAAAGGAAGAGAAGGCAGAATTATAATCAAAATTATCTTTAGAAAGGCATTTCTCATAAGCCACTTTTCAGAGGCTGTCATTCTAAGTGCATTACTGAAAAGTCAAATAAGTAGGGGAATTTTCAAATCAACATGCATTTACAAGATCTCTTCTGTACCTAGCTCAAAGTTCAGAATAATGGGATATGACGCAGCGTGCTTAAAAAGGAACCTTGACGATGGGTTGTGGAAGAGAGGAGAGAGGGAGGAGGCTATCATCAATTTCCTTTCTTCTCTTCTGATGTGGTCCAGGAGATGAGGTCTTAATACACATTCTCAGCCCCAGAGATTATTTTGAGGGAGGAAGATAGGCCAAATGGAGTCGAGAAGCTGGACTCACAGGGACAAGAGGTCCAGCAAGGAGACGGAACAGAGGGGATGCTGAAAGCGTTCATGGGATTGTGACTCCCATACTAAAGGCACCAGCAAGGACTGCTGCAGTCAGCACTACAGCTGCATAGATTGGTTTAATTGCCCTGGAAGATATAATTTGCCCTTTCCAACCTATGACATATTTGAGAGACCAAACGAAAACACACTAAGAAATATTCCAAAATTTTCTGTAATTTCCTTTGAAGTCTTCCATAATTTGTTATTTCCTCGAACTTTTACAACACTCTCTAGATAACAGCCTGGTCCTGGGCCCAGCCCTTTGTACTTTATTATTGAAGCTCAAGACCATCTACCTGTGCTGCTCCTGCAGGGTTATTGCATCTTATGCAGCAGCAGCAGATCCACAGCTTTGAGTAAACACGCTTACTGCCTTGCCCCTCCTCATGTCTGTTCTTTTCTCCCTCTCCTTCCACTGTCTTAGTCACCACCCATCTCCTGAAGAGTCACTCACTGCAGGATATTGACCTTACCATGCAAACATTCATTCCAGATGGGCTGCTGAGCTGTGCTGTGATGCTCCTTCAGCCTCTCACACATCCCCTTCCTAGCACCTCTTAGCACCATGATTCCTGAGAACCAGATGCTGCCTCTCCCATCTCCACCTATTGAAATATTGCTCAGCCTCCAGACTCATCTCAGATGCTATCTTCTTAATGGAGCTTTTCCTGATTCCATTCCCATTGGAGGGATCTCCATCTCTCCCCCGCACCATCTGTTACTACCTTGAGGGCAGGGTCCCTATCTTATTCATCTTCATATACCCCAGATACCTGGCACAGTGCTTCTGCCCCCAGCAGTTACTTAATTGCACGCTTATTAGGTTTAATTGAATCCTGTTGTTCCAATTCTATTAGAGATTAATTAGAATGTGAGGTACATATTTCCATGCAGCGCAGTGTCTAATGACCTTGGCTAAATGGAGTTTCTTCCTTTGTTTTTAACTCTATGGGGTGGCTCCCTAAGAGTTGCAAATTCAGAGTCTCTAATGTTTCACTAATGATGTTAAAGCTGCTAAATAGTCCTAGATTGATTTTTGATAAAATGAGTCATGAAACCTTTCTGGAAAGAATGGTGATGAGGGTGCGGGGACCTGGTCTGCTCTAGTTGTTAATAAAGTAGTTGACTCTTGTGTTGCTGACATAGGTGTTGTCATGACCGCCTCTGGAATTTCCCAGTTAGAATGAACCAATCCAGTGCAGCAAACACTTGTTACACTACCTGTGCCAGGCTCTGGGGTAGGGAGAAAAGTGGAGAAGAGAGTTAGTTTCTGAGTACATTCTTCAAAGAGGAGTCCTTTTAAGTTACTAATTGACTCAACTGTTGCTAAAACTATGATGAAAAGAGGCTGCAGCAAGATTATGGCACAAATAGAGAAAGTAGCCAAAGGTGGCACCTTTTTTTGTCTTTGGCCTATTGCCAAGAAATATATCAAGAATCATCTCTACACCCCACCTTGCTGCTTTTGGTGTTAGAAACTGAATATGCTTCTAGGTCAAGGCTGTGGACAAAGCAAAGATAAGTAAGACACAGTCTAACCCTCAACAATATCAAATGACCCATCAGCTAATAATTACCTGAAACTTAATATGAACCACAAAATGGTGATGGTACTTAATAACACTCATATAGTATTTAAAATGTCCAGATACTGTTTAAAGCACTTTATATATGTTAAATTATTTAATTCACAACACTGAGGTATGTATTATTATCACTCCCATATTATTGATGTGAAAATGGGCACAGAAAAGTCAAGTAACTAACTGAAAGTCACAAAGTTAGTAGGCAAGAGCCAAGATTGGAAACTGAGTTATCTAGCTACAGAGTTTACTTACACGTGCACGCACACATGCATTCAAATGGATTGATCACTATGGAAAATACTAAAGGAGCCCAATATGGTCTCTGACCCAGGAAGTCAGAAAAATGAGAAAACAGTAGGAGACAGCAGAGGACAAGTGCTAAATGATGTGACATTAACGTAATGCAAAATGGTTCAGGAAGAGGTTACGTGTACATGTGTCTTCATGATTCTCACAGGCGAGTGCATGTGAGATATGTAAAAGTGAGTAAAGTTTTGGCCTTCTTAGGAGGAAATCTACTGATTTTACGCACCAGAGTTGCTGAAACAAAAACTAATATATCCATGACAT